GTGATCCTCTTGATCTGTGCCTCATGAATAACAAGGATTACAGGGGCGAGCCACCATGCCTGGTTTGAACTGTACTCTTAAAAATGATTACAATGGGACCAAAGCAAAAAGGGCTGGGGGAGTGGCTCAAGTGTTAACACCTGCCTAGCAAACACAAGGCTCTGAGTTCAAACCCCAGTACCATCAAAAAGAAAAAAAAATGGCTTAAATGTTACATTTTATCTATATGTTTTTGCTACAATAAAAAATATCTATGTGGCTTAGATTATGTTTCTGTTGGATGGCACTGGTTTAGAAACTTAACATGTTTTGTATTTAATTACAATTAGACATAATTCACAAATAACCTTAAAAAGAACTGTGGCAAGATTTATTTGAACAAAACCAGGTGCTTGACCTCTAGTTATCAACTGGTTTGAAACCACACTGTAATACAACACACCAACGCAGAAAGTCGTTCTTATGTGGGGAAGCAAGTGGGTCTCAGAAAAGCACGTTATGCTGGACAAAGGGTAGGCACTGATGTCAGGATGGAAGATGCAATCTAATGTCCAGAAGGAATTTAAGAAATTAGTGAACACATATCCAGGGTCCAGTGACAGAGATTTGAGCAACGGAGATAGTTTTTTGTGGTGCTAATGTAAGAAAGATGGCATACATTGATGAAATACAAAATGTATATCCTCACACTTGAAAAGGAAACTTTTGGTCTCTATGCCCCCTTACTTCGATGAAGGAGGCTGAATAACTTATACCACTGGTAAATTTAGGGGAAAGCATGAAGGATGAAACACCTGTCCCTTCTCTTTCTAATCAAACCTGTCTACAGAACAGATCACTTTTATGGGCTGAGAACGAAGGCCCTGAATGAGACCCAGGGATCCTTCTTCCATTGTCCCCCGTATGAACCCAAGTGGCTGTGAGGCTGAGTTTCAATGCCTCCTGTGCCTTCTGCAAGGTGGCTGCTCCATGGTCCCAACTGGATATGGGGACCTTAAATATTAGTTTTCCTGCAGCTGCCAATTTGTGCCATGATTTCAATTTTATTTCTTAACCTCAAAACTGACATTTTGAATCCCACCTGATTGTTGTGTCTCATTTCTCAATTCATTCGAGTGTGCAGAGACAGGCAGTTGTAATTACCCTCCCTACACCTACTAATAGCAGTTTTCAAAATAAGAACAAGAATAACAATAGCACAGTAGTGTATCACATATGCCTTTAAAAATTTAATTTGATGAACACCAAGGTGTTCTATAAGGGAATATGGTATAGAAAGAAGATAAGACATTTTACAGGACTGCACAGGTGGCTCCAGAGCTTTAGAACAGTAATGTGGAGTTACAACCAAAAAGACAGAGCTGAATGTGTGGCATTTGTGCATAAACTATACATGCCAAGTACTTGCTAGGTTCAGGTACTATGGTAGAGCTGTCTTTAGCTCATTTTGTAGGTAAAGTCAAAATTATGCTGGGAGCTTTGTTCTTGTTTTTTTTTGCAGTACTGGGGTTTGAACTCAGGGCTGCCTTCTTACTAGGCAGGTGGCCACTTGAGCCACACTCCCAGCTGGGATCTTTGCTAAACAGACTTTAGCTTTTGCTATGGTTTGAATGCTGAACATTCCCCAAAGATGCATATATCACAAGCTTGGTCTCCAGAATGAGAAGTTGTGGAACCTGTGGTAGCTTGGGTCTTGTGGAAGCTCCTTAAGTCACTGGAAGTATACCCTCTAAAGGGATTGTGGGACTCCAGCCCCTTCTTTCTCTGTTTTATGGCTGATGGGTGAGTAGTTTTGCTCCATCATAAGCTCTTGCCATGATGTGCTGTCTTGAATAGGCTTGAAAGCAATGGAGCCAATCAACTAGAACATCCAAAACTGTGTGCCCAAACCCCTTTTCTGTTTATAAGTTCATTACCTCAAGTATTTAGTAACAGAAAGCTGACTAACACAGCTATCATTTTGCTATAGGTGTTTGGAGGATCTGCAATCTAATGACGAAATCTGCTTATAGGGTAGGAATGTTAGAGCAGAGAGACTGTGAAACGTGAACACTTTAGCAAGTGCAGAATAATATTTTTAAGGCATCCCAAAGGCCAGTTTCCAGAAAATAGTATTAAGCTACTACTAGAAAGACTGGAGTCAGGAATTTGAGAGAGCTAGGAGAGAAATTTTTGAGGCACAGAGGCAGGTGGCTGGAACCCAGAATGCAGTTTTGGCAATGGTGACTATCAAGAGGAGGTAAGAGTATGCCAGGATGGCAGAACATTCTTATCAAAAGAAAGCAACTGACAGCCTTGAGGTGAAATGGGACATTTTCTGGTAAGTAGAAACTCAGATTGATTCACAGACTACAAGCTTACAATTTTCCAGTTCAAAAGAATAAAAGGTGGAACAAGACAGGTGAATAATATGCAACAGAAAATGAGGTATTATTTTCACAATTTATTTTTGATGTTTCAGTTCCATGCTTCTGTACCTAGTAAGTAAAAGAAATCTATTTTGCTCTCAAGAGGGTTGACTTCTTTGACGTATGATTTAAAGTGCTTCATACTTTTACTTCTAAAGAAATTATATTTTAAATGTTTCACTCAAGGTTCTAAAGAAGAGAGCCAATTCATTAGCAACTTGTGTGGGCAGAAAATCCTTTCCCATCCATAGCTAAGAAAGTGTAGGAGGGTATTCATTTGTCACAGGAAAATCTTCCCAAGAAATGTACATTAGGCTGTGATTAACTCTGAGCGTGAGCTTCTTTAAGAACTCCCTATGAATTCCTTCCTGGTTTTGTGGCTGGTAAAAACAACTTTATCAGTTATTAAAGTGTTTCTGGGGTCAATGTCCCTCAGTAATGGGAACAGGAAGGCAGGCCCGCCTGACAGTGGGAGTGAGGGTTTGGGTGCATGAGCTCTCTTTACTCAAACCCCCCCAGTCCAAAGCACCCCCAAATTGGCTGTGCTCCTGACACAGATGGGGACCCAGCCAGGTTTCTCAGCATAGGCATGGTCTCACGTAGTTCCACATTACAAAGTAGTTCATTCCCAAGTTCCATTCCCTGTGTCCAGAGCCTTTTGTCTGAATGTTTTTAGAGCATGTTCCATCCTTCTTCAGAGTCCCTGTAACCCCTGTGTGCCTTACTTCGTCTTTGTCTCCTAGGGGTGCTCTGCACTTCTTTCTGCATACAAGTACACTGCTTGTCCCAATCCTTTCTGCATCCCTCTGTCAGATCATCCCATTTGTAATCCAGAGGACAGCTTCTCCTTCTGACTAGGAGGATAAAAGAACAGCTTCTGTAAGATGTCCTTGAGGTTTTGGCTATTAGCCCAATCTCTATCCTTATTTTCAGTCTTCAAACCCTTTATCTCAATGTGCCCCACACTTAAAGTACATCAAATCAGGGAAAGGCAGAGCATCTCTGAGATAGAAGGGATGGAGATGAGCCAGTAACATCCTGTGTGGCAAATGCTTGCTCTTCCTGACAACATTTTTAATTGGTCAGAATTTTGAAACCTGGCATAGAGAGAAAACCATCTCATGGATCATTTTACCTCCAATCATCATACAATCTTACATCTGGGAACTTTCTTCTTAGTGTGATCTATAGAGCAGTGCGACTCATGTGTAACTGACCTAGATTAAACTCTTGCTTGCAAATACCCCATGCTGGAGGAAAGGCAGTGTGTCAGGCTTTGGGCTTCTCTACTCTCAACTGTGATGAATCCTAGGTTACAATGGAAATGAGGCAGAAAACTGCAAAAAGCTTCCCCAGCAAAGCAGGAAAGAGGCTAAAGAAAATCCAGCTTCATTAATAAAAGAAACAGCACAATCTGAACTCACACAATGAAATAGTTACAAACTTAATAACTCTGGAAGGAATATTCAGTTTTGTATAATCTTTCTAAAACTAAGTTGTAAATTGCTAGTGACTAATTAAACTCCAAAAATGCTCAGACTAAGGAGGTTTACAACCAAATGGCATTTACAAACAGGTAAACGTGGGAATGTAATTCTTCCTTGGATCTATACTTTTTGTAGTTCTGATTCTGCTCTTACCATCCTGACATGCGATAGGATAAAGCTCTTGGTTTATTTCTTTATGAATTTTTAAAAATGTAATTATATCTTAATATCAACATATTTTAATATGCATATAACCATCTGATTATGATTTTCTATAGTCTTTTATCATCTCTCTTTTTCAAAGAGATACCAGAAACTTTTAATAAAGTAGGATTTAAAAACAGAAAATGAGAACCAGAAGACAAATAGTGTTTTGACAATAAGCTTAGTTTTGTACATTAAAAACAAAAACAGAAGTAAAAAAGAAAAGCCCTAAAAATTGAGGCTCATGTGGCATTTACATTTTATGTTTTAAGTTAATAGTTTTCATAATTTCCCAGAACACCCAAATTGCCCACAAAGACCAAAGGAACAATTAGCTTACATTCAAAAGTATTTTTTTCAATACAGATTACTGGCTGAGAAATAAAGCAGAAAAGTTAACACCTAAAAAACGTACCTCAAGCCTATCTTGATGGCATTTAATAAATAAATCTCTTATACACTAAGCAGGCTGGTCATGCTATGCCTTAGAATTCCTGAATAATGGTGATTTGCCTCTGAAATTTTCCTTATTGTTTTGCAATGTTCTATTTATAACTGCAACAGCCCAGGACAAGCAGTAATCCAGAAGCATTTCTCAGGTAATGAAAAATATTTTTCAAATACTATCTATTCATAATACAGTGATTAAAGCATACTAGGGGGACATGAAAGCTTAACAAAATCTTGCTGAAACATAATTGAGAGTCCACAGGAAATCAATGACTACAGAAAAATTTAGTATTACACCTCAGTTTCTGTTAAGTACTTTAAAAAAAAGTATTTAACACTCAAAGAACTTGTATAAAGCCACAATTTGATTTATGTTCTAAAAATTTTCATTCTTAAAATATTAGACAAACAGGGAAAAATGTGCATTAAATTCTTCCATTCATGTACTTTTCTACTTTTTTACCAAAAATCGTGTGATGTCTGATCCATGCTTTGATGCTAGAGATTTTTTTCTCTCCTGGCTTCTGTCCTTGGCTTGTCTGGCAGTTCTCTAAAAGTTAAAAAATATGCATTGTAAATGTTAGGAAAAAAGCATTGGCTACAGGAGCACAGACATATCTGTAATCTGGAAAAATCAACATTGTTTCTACACCCAGTGCATGACCAACAGGGGGTGCTGCAGACCATAAGACATAGTACCCTGGCAGCTCTAGGACTCAATTTGGAGGAAAAAATAACTACTGGGTATGACTTGCTACTCATGAAGACAATACTTCATTTAAGACTAGGGGAGGACATGATTCTCCTTATGCAGGCAGGTGAATGTAAGACATCTTGGGATTTGGATGGAAAGCATACCCATTTCCTATTCTCTGGGTCTAGAAGCATTCCCAACCCAACAGATAATCCAATGTAGGAAAAAACAACAAAACAAAACTGAGCTAAACCAGAACTGGGTATGTCTGCTAATTCCACAAATAAATTTTCCCATGAGACTGAAAAAATACAGGAATGACTACATTTTCTTTGGCTATTTCTACATTTTCTTACAGGTCTTGAGTTTGCTAACAATTTTACATAGGAGAAATCAGACGACATTTTTTCCAGTTGAAGTCTATGTGTGTGTGAAGAGGCCCAGGGGGAAAAGGTGAAGAGAGAAAATGTAAAACTAAAAGCATAACCAAAATAATCTCATTTAAATAGAAATTATGTTTGTGAAAAAAATAGCAGAATCTAAAATATTAAAAGAAGGGTAAGAAAAGGCTCATACATTATGGACATTGGCAAAGGATGTGAGCAGTTCTCAAAAGTATAAATACAATTGATTAGAATTGTTTATAAACATTAATATCTTTAGATGCAGTTAAATGGGACACTCCTTTCATTGCTAGGCTTGGGGAAGCATAAATGAATAAAATCTTGTGGAAAGCAGTTTGGTAATAAATTTCTATGCTGTCAAAAATATCCAAATACTTTGATTCAGTAATTTTTGTATATGAGAATCTATCTTAAAGAATGACATCAAAGCACAGAAAACAACATTGTTCACAAGAAAATGTGCTGGGTGGCATGAACAATTTAAATATTCATCAGTATGGGAAAGCTAAGAAAATGAAAAGAATATGATGCAAACATTTTAGATGACACACATTGTGAATGATTGGGGAACATACTTATATCTTTTCATAAGTGGAATAAAAAGATTGGATACAAAATTGCAATCATTGAATATATGATTTCTTAAATAATTTTTTTCTTTTTTGGGGCAGTCCTTGGGTTTGAACTCAGGGCCTCCTGCTTGCTAGGAAGGTGCTCTACAGCTTGAGCCATACCCCTAGCCCCCAGCTGCTTTCTAAGATTATCTCAACATGTAGATCCTACTACCTTTTGCTAGGCTATGTTTTAAACATTCATACTGATAGACATTACTACATGATTTTTTCCCTTTCATTTTAAGCAATATGTAACTGTTCAAAGGTGTACTAAGGTTAATAGGTTTCATACTAAGTCAGTAGTATAATCTGTGTATGTTAAGCTGAGTTTATCCTAGAGACAATTTATGAATTTTCTCAGCTATTTGAAGATGTCCTTAGCCATATGCGAACATACGACACTGCCCCAATTTACAAAACTTCCAGTTTTAGGGTCTCTTTAAAACCGTATAATACGTAAGTTTCATTCATGTTTTTCTAGTTGGTGGAGACATGTCTTAAGTACTAGAATGAATAAGAAGGGAAAGCTTCTTCTGCATCTATTGACTTAAGGACTTATACAGGCCTTGAGAGGAAAGGCAAGTGCACCTCAGATCCCAGACAAGGGTACAGACTCAGCCACATAATCTCACATACCTGGGTGCACAATTTTCTACTAAACTGCTCAGGATAGTGTCAAAGCTGTCTGTGAGCTTCACTGACCTGTTTGTGACAGATTGTGCAGAGAGTCTGCAGGTTGTCCAGGGAGCACTGTCCCCCTCCCTCATATACTGGCTTGATGTGATCCACCTGCCAGAAATGTCCTTCTCCCGGGTTTTTTATCATTTCATTTAGCTGCAATAAGAACACACGACCAGCAATTTTCAACATACATTGCAGGAACTGTTGGTTTCGCATTGTGCAATCATGTTTATACAGCAAAATCATGAGGAAAATGCATTAGGATGGCTTTTTATAGCTTTCATTGTGAGTAAAAAAAAAAACCTCTAGGTTAGCAATTCAAAGCAATAAAATGCGTATCTGAAAAAGTTTTTTCCCTTACTTAACCCATTTTTAGAAAGTTATAAGTACAAAATACCAAGACTCCTGACAGACTGGGGATAATTGGTTGCTTCTGCACCCTTTGAGTTACTTTATATATCCAAAAGTGAGAAAAGAATAAGAACAGACCGGAAATTAAAGACTCCTTGATAGCTGTGTGCCAGTGGATGATGCCTATAATCCTAGCTACTCAAGAAGCAGAGATCAGGAGGATTGTGATTCATAGCCCCCTTGGGCAAACAGTTGGTAAGACCCTATCTTTTTTTTTTTTTTTTTTTTTTTTTTATTATTTTTTTTTTTTTTTTTTTTTTCATTTTTCTTTTATTATTCATATGTGCATACAAGGCTTGGTTCATTTCTCCCCCCTGCCCCCCCCCTCCTTACCACCCACTCCACCCCCTCCCCTCCCCCCTCAATACCCAGCAGAAACTATTTTGCCCTTATCTCTAATTTTGTTGTAGAGAGAGTATAAGCAATAATAGGAAGGAACAAGGGGTTTTGCTGGTTGAGATAAGGATAGCTATACAGGGCATTGACTCACATTGATTTCCTGTGCGTGGGTGTTACCTTCTAGGTTAATTCTTTTTGATCTAACCTTTTCTCTAGTTCCTGGTCCCCTTTTCCTATTGGCCTCAGTTGCTTTAAGGTATCTGCTTTAGTTTCTCTGCGTTAAGGGCAACAAATGCTAGCTAGTTTTTTAGGTGTCTTACCTATCCTCACCCCTCCCTTGTGTGCTCTCGCTTTTATCATGTGCTCATAGTCCAATCCCCTTGTTGTGTTTGCCCTTGATCTAATGTCCACATATGAGGGAGAACATACGATTTTTGGTCTTTTGGCCAGGCTAACCTCACTCAGAATGATGTTCTCCAATTCCATCCATTTACCAGCGAATGATAACATTTCGTTCTTCTTCATGGCTGCATAAAATTCCATTGTGTATAGATACCACATTTTCTTAATCCATTCGTCAGTGCTGGGGCATCTTGGCTGTTTCCATAACTTGGCTATTGTGAATAGTGCCGCAATAAACATGGATGTGCAGGTGCCTCTGGAGTAACAGTCTTTTGGGTATATCCCCAAGAGTGGTATTGCTGGATCAAATGGTAGATCGATGTCCAGCTTTTTAAGTAGCCTCCAAATTTTTTTCCAGAGTGGTTGTACTAGTCACATTCCCACCAACAGTGTAAGAGGGTTCCTTTTTCCCCGCATCCTCGCCAACACCTGTTGTTGGTGGTGTTGCTGATGATGGCTATTCTAACAGGGGTGAGGTGGAATCTTAGTGTGGTTTTAATTTGCATTTCCTTTATTGCTAGAGATGGTGAGCATTTTTTCATGTGTTTTTGGCCATTTGAATTTCTTCTTTTGAGAAAGTTCTGTTTAGTTCACTGCCCATTTCTTTATTGGTTCATTAGTTTTGGGAGAATTTAGTTTTTTAAGTTCCCTGTATATTCTGGTTATCAGTCCTTTGTCTGATGTATAATTGGCAAATATTTTCTCCCACTCTGTGGGTGTTCTCTTCAGTTTAGAGACCATTTCTTTTGATGAACAGAAGCTTTTTAGTTTTATGAGGTCCCATTTATCTATGCTATCTCTTAGTTGCTGTGCTGCTGGGGTTTCTTGAGTATTTCCTACTCTTTCTTGGAGTTTGGGTCTGATATTAAGATCCTTGATCCAGAGTATCTATAGTGATATACATGTCTAGTTTCAGACTGCTAACCAGTTTTCCCAGCAGTTTTTGTTGAAGAGGCTGCTATTTCTCCATCGTATATTTTTAGCTCCTTTGTCAAAGATAAGTTGCTCATAGTTGTGTGGCTTCATATCTGGATCCTCTATTCTGTTCCACTGGTCTTCATGTCTGTTTTTGTGCCAGTACCATGCTGTTTTTATTGTTATTGCTTTGTAATATAGTTTGAAGTCAGGTATTGTGATACCTCCTGCATTGTTCTTTTGACTGAGTATTGCCTTGGCTATTCGTGGCCTCTTGTGTTTCCATATAAATTTCGCAGTAGATTTTTCAATCTCTTTAATGAATGGGTAAGACCCTATCTTGAAAACACCCAACACACAAAAGGGTTGGTGGAGTGGCTCAAGCGGTAGAGCACCTGCCTAGCAAGTGTGAGGCCCTGAGTTCAAACCTCAGTACTGCAAAAAACAGAAAAACAAACAATCCCCCCCAAAAAACATCAATATTACTGATTCAATTTTTAATTACTGACTTAAACATATTTGTAACTGGGTAGGCTCAGTGCTCATGCCTGTAATCTTAGTTACTTGGAAGATGGAGATCAGGAGGCTGGCTTGTAGTCAAAGTCCATCGCTGGCAAAAAAATTGGCATGACCCCATCTCAATTAATACCTGGGTATAGTGGTGCATGATTGTCACCTCAGCTATGTGGGAAACATAAATAGATAGGTCACAATACAGGCCAGCACCAGCAAAAAGCAAGATGCTATCTCAAAAATAACCAAAGCAAAAAGGGCTGGAAGTGTTGCTCAAGTGATAGAGCACCTGCCTAGCAAGTGCAAAGGCTGAGTTCAAAACCAGTATTACAAAAAAAAAAAAAGTTACTATTTTATTGTCAGCTTAATACTGAAAGCTATCAACCAGAACTTTTATGTTACCCACCAGAGAACCTCCCAAGTTACTTAGACTAGAATGAAATTTCTAACACAAATCTCTCTAACTTGCGTATTTGTAATAAACAAAGATGCCCATTTAAAGCAGCCACTCTAAAGACCAGTCCATTCATGCACAATTTGGAGCCAATCAAGACCTACTTTAAAAAGAGATGTATTTTAGCATTATACCCAAGATAGTAAAACCAGGATGTACTATTGCAATGCAGCTGGTTAAGTATAACAAAGATGACTATGACAATTATTTTTAATATCTTGGTCTTGGACAAGGAGGAAATTGTAGTCAACTTCACAACCGCCAGCCATGGGAACCCATGATTCTTTCTAAGGCACTTTTAAGAGAGTTTGTTAGATCCTCTGTCAGTACAGTGACCTGATCAATAGTGTTGACCTGTGAGGAACATCAAGAGGCAGCAAGCTGGAGGAGGAAACCTTGTCTATCTGACCTTTGTCACTGCCTGCCATACTTTCTCTTCTGTACTAAACTCAATTTCTGTTAAAAGATGCATATTGATTGTTTATTTTTGAGGCTGGCATTGTTAGAAGCAGCTACAAATGACAGTCTAAATGGCATATTCATAGAAAAACAACCATTTGCTTCTGCCTTTTGTAACTATCTCTGAACAGCTTTCTCTCTTACAGATTCAATGATCCAAAAACTGCTTCTTTATTTTTTCCTAGTAACTGTATGACACATCACTTGGGGCCAGTAACAAACATTCCAAATTCACCTCTTGAAGGAATCACTACTTCTCTGCCTGGTACTCCCTAATCTGAGTCCTGTGATGCACCTTATCCTTATAGCACTTTGATTTTGGATGACTACCATGTGACATCTGCATTCCTATACAGGTTCTTTTGAGATGGCCTTTAGTCATTTCATGGTGCATCTCCTGGAAGCCTGCATGTTGAGGTAGCAGATAGTAACTGGAGTCTGATTGATATGTCTCAGATGGGTGCAACATATCACTTATCAATCAGACCAAAGGATCTTTTGGATATTATTAAAGAAACAGTGTATTTCTAGCTCTCAAAGATTTACTAATTCATCTTTATGGAGATGATTATGAATTAATCTACATAATGCAGCAATAGTAGGTAAAATATGTAATTTGTTTAGCTGGCAGGAATTCATTTAACATTTTAATAGTAATTTGAAAGCAATAAAATGTGTATAGGTCTTAAATTTGTTAGTAATTTGCATAGCTGAGAAATCAGATGAATTTTTTTGCAATCGAAGTAAAATTAAGCGCACTACAAAACTGCACATTTTGCTTTAGTTTAAAATTCAGAATCATTTCAGATAACATGATCAGAAATCCAGTTGAATTTTGGAATTGATCATTGTGATGTATAAACTACATTTTGTCACAAATTTCTTTACTAGAATTATGTTTTATAATGGAATGAACACACACACACACACGTGCGGGCTTGCTTACTATAATGAACTACATTCTTGAAGTTATCCATTTGCTCCTGTAATTCAATATTAACATTATGAAAAAGTGGAAATACCAGACTTAGGTGCATCTAGATACAATGTACCAACTGTTAAGATTTTTCCCAAAATAATGGAATCAGAATCTAATCAAGCCTCTTGATCTTATAATCAATATTCAGGAGAATTAAGGCAACAAAAAAACATGTCAAACAATACCATGAGGATACATGGTGACATCTAGAATGCAGGAAATCCTATAGGCAAATGATCCAGTTTCTTCAATAATAAATGGTGTTAAAAAAGGGATAGAGTGCTATTAGGGATTAAAAAAATCATAAAAGGCATAATGACGAAAAACAATATTTGAGACATTTTTTGACCCTCATTTGAACAAAGTGACTGTTGAAAGCATTTACCAAATGTGAACTTATTATTATTAAGGAGTTGTAATTGTGTTGGCTGTGATAACTTGTATTGGGATTATATTTAAAAGAAAGAGAAAGAAAGGGAGGGAGGGAGGAAGAAAGGGAAGGAAGAAGGAAGGAAGGAATGAAGAAAGTAAGGAAGGAAAGAAGACTTTACCTGTGAGATACATAATTAAGAGTGAACTGTTGTCTGGCATTTGCTTTAAAATATTCCAAGAGAAAAAAAAAAGACGTTAGGCAAAGGAAAGATGATGGTTATATGGGTGCATTATTATCTCTACTTTTGTATATATATATATTTGAAAACCTACATGTTAAAAAGCTAAAAAATCAAGTTAGTACAATGCTGCCTTCTATCTGTCACGTGGTTCTAATTTACCTGTTCTAATGGGAGCTTTGAAGTCCAGGTAGCATCCAGAAGGTTCTTCCTGTGACTTTTAGGGGCATCTCTCACACGTAAAAAGAGTTCTTGTGCATTCACATTACATAGCTGACACACACCATGTTCAGTTTCAAATACTTGGGCTCGTAGGTAACCATTATTAGATCGAATCCAAATTCATCCTGACATTTCAGAGAGCAAAATCGTGAATCCCAAGCATTTGCTTTACACTCTTGCTTAGTTTGGCAAGTGGGATGCTGACAGTGAAGGCAAAGTGGGTTTCCTTCATTATCCATAGCTTGCAAATAGCCTTTGGATGTAGAAGGCTTCACAGTGAGATTAGCTTGGGTTGTGTAGGAATTTAGAAATGGGACACAGGCTCCATCTTCAAGAAGCTCTCTGCAATTGAATGAAACATTGAATAGGTAACAAATGAAGAACTACTCTAGTCATTGCTTCATATAAATGCTTTTAAAGTTTCTATATGGGAAAAACAGCAAACACAAGGTCCACAGATTTTGTGATTCAGTATGAAGATGAAATAGCTGTGGTCAGCACTCTATATTCCATGCCAAGCAAGGAAGACCAGGATATTAGAAAAATTAATTTGATATACGCTACCTCCCTTGGGAATTTAGATACCTTCATGTTAAACAATTAGACTTTGAAACATTCTTGAGAAGTCAGAAACTACTTTTTTAGGCTAGGAGAGGGCAGGCTAATGTAAAACTCCAACTAAAACTTAGTGGCGAACTCTCTCAGAGTGCTGGCTTACAGGATACAGGGAGTTTTCACAGCCATGAAGTGACAGAGTGAAGTAGCTGACAGTGCTGATAGGAATTAAAATAGGTAAACTCAGTGTTGATCAAATTAAAATCATAAACAAAACATGATGGGATATGTGCTCAGTTTGTTAGCATCAAAGGAAAAGGTACACTCCTCAACTATGATGAAAAGTCCTACACTGGGAAGGAGTATTTAAAGGAGTATTCTCGGTATTACTGTGTCCTTACTTTGTGGAAGGGTCCAAAGGCCTGGACTCCTTTGTGATCAGACGGACATGGCCCCCATCCTTCTTCACCTTGTCCATCGAGGCTACAGCAACATCTTCTCTGGTTATGTATCTAGAACAATTACATGTTAAGTAGATTTTTTTCTCTCTAATATAAAAGTTTCTCTATTTCATGTTCACAACAATAGAAGCAAAAACAAGATACAATTCTATTTATTATATTAATACTAAAGTTAGAAAATGGAGTGTTCATCCTTTATCTTGCTATTCATTAATATGGGAAACACATCTCATTGCTCCAGTTAGTCACCTCAAGGTTCATTTTCCTAAGAAATTCAAGAGTCCTTAATTCTCCTTTGGACCAATTTTCAAAATGAAGGTGAAAAAAGGAGTGGGTGTTGGATTAAGAAATGATTAAATACATGTAGAACTGATAGCCTTAAGGAAACTTCTTGTCAAGCTGTGCAGAAACTTTCCAAATACATGACCTCCCTCTTGGTCTTCTCTCCAAGACTCCTCCAAATCACCTTCGTCAGTTGCAACAGAGTATCAGTGTTCTGTGAAAAGGGATCTTTTTTTTTTTTTAAAACTAAACTAGATTCAATCATATCACTTATAATCTCAAGGTTGTTCCCATTAACATCGGCTTATACAAGGTTTATGGAGTCTTCTACTGAAACAAAGCCACTCTTGATGTGGGATTCAGAACCTTACTACACAACAGTATCACTACCACACAATGGTTTAGGGACTGGAAGTAAAGAGGAAAGTAATTCTAATTAAAGGTGACGGGGGAATTTAAGTAAGTGAAATTCAATTACCCAATTAATTTCTTCTAATTAGTATGGCCCAGTTTCTCTGGTAGTTTATACCTGTTGTAGATTTTTAAAAATTAGTTTAAACATGAATTTCTTCATATTTTTGAGTACTTCTTCATTTGGTATCTTAACAATAAAAATGAAAGTTCAATAAAAATGGAATTGTGCAATTGTATGGAAAAATTTTGCTTTTATGCTATTATAGTAGATTTAATAATAAAGTTTTCCTTTCTCTGTAGAGTATCTCATTAATCTTTGATTAGGTGATATGTGCACAGGGTTCTAGGGCTAAAAGGCATGTAATACTTTATATGGTAAAGAGCTAAGTTTCCTTCCCATTCCCATCCTTCTTTCTTTCTTCCCTGGCTACCCCTATTGCCAGTTTTTAATTCTTTTAATAGAAATAATTTTGCTTTTTCTGTGCATAGGTATATAGCTGTTATTTATTTTTGCATCTTTATTAATGTATAGTTCATATACCATTAAATTCACCACTCTGAAATTTAAAAATTAGTACATTTTACTATATTCACAAGGTTGTGCAATCATCACCACTATCGAATTTTAGAACACTTTCATCTAATTCCCCATTTCCAAAAGAAACTTATACACATTAGCATTCACTGCCCATACTTTCTACTTTTAGAAATCACTGATAGTGTAGTAGAGACACTAACCTTCACCTGTTTTTTTTTTTTGACTGAACCTAGATCTCAGAGATCTTTCTACATTAGTATATGTCATTTAATTATTTGGCTAAATCATGTAATGTATCTAACCAGTTTCTGATTAATGAGCATTTAGGTTGTTTCCAATCTTTGCTATCACTAACAAGGCTACAGTAGTTATCTATATACACTGTATTTTGTACACATTAAGTATATACAGAATAAATAGAATTCCTGGGTTAAAAGTCCTGAGTGCTTTAAATGTGGGTAGATTTTGACAAACTGTTCTCTTCTGAGGTTGCAGTTTACATCTCCACCAGTAATGAATGACTTTCACTAGTACAACCAGTCTGGCATAGTAGTGTGTGCCTGTAATCCTAGCACTTGAGAGGCAAAGGCAGGAGGATGGAGGATTTTAAAGCCAGCCTAGGTGACATAGCAAAACCTTATCACAAACAAACAAACCCTCTTTTAGTAGCAATAGTTATCTCTTCATAAAAGCTCTAAATTTGCATTTTTCCTATGACAGTATAAATGCATATATTTTCACATGTCTGCTTTTCCACTTGTGTGTGTGTCTTTCTTAAAGCAAAAACCAAGTCAAATTGCAGTTAATTCTTTTTGAGTTCTTTAATTTTCCATTTTAGTTCCTAAACTTGCTCCAAGCTCCTCCTTTCTTCAACTATTTTATTCCTTTGACAAAAGGAATCTCAGGATTCTAAATGAACTCAAAACCTACCTGACTTTGAGGGGCAATGAAATATTAAGCCCTGCCTCAGGTATTATTCAATGTGCAAAAACCTAATTCAGTAACTTTAAAAGATTCTGAGAAATCTAATCAGAAATTTAAGATCTAAAAATAACCTCTTTCATATAAGAGGTTTAAGCATAAATTTTTGGAAAGCACAAGAAACAGACTGATCAACCCCATAGGAGATGACAAGTTTTCAAATCTAGTTACAAGTTGCGGATAATCGTCTATTGAGGTTTGTAACAAAGTTCTAAATATACCAACTCCCAAAAGGATTATGGTAAATTCCAATTTTGGCAAACAGGGAAGCAAGAATGTTGTTTACTAAGCTAATTCCTAGATAGGGATAAGAATGGAAGATGGCAGTTTTTATAAGAAGATTGTGTGTTGGAAAGTGACGTGTGCTAACAAATAATCCCAAACTCTGGATCGCTGCCAACTTTGTAGATCAGCTGCAGATAGAGGATAAGTAGGTGGCATCCTAAATATGACAGGGTTTGCACTAAATCTGGCCTGCTTCAGGAACCAACACACTGGCTGGTAGTCTTGGCTTCCACTCTCATCTAAGAATAAGCTACCTGAAAGCTGGCTGTTAGATCTCAGCTTGGATGAGGCCTGGAAACTTGTGGAGTCACTGGAGGATAATCTTGTTGGAGACCCAACCATTGCTTTTGAGGGAATTTTCAGTTAGTACTTACATGTTTTTTGTTTTTTTGGGTTTTTTTTTAGCCATTCAATATTTTTTTTAAGAGATGAGTCCTCCTTTCTTCTGGCCCAGAATACTAATGGCATTCTAGATGAGTGAGGAAAGTCTGAAGAGTTTCAGTTTTCAGTGTAACATCTCTCGTGTTACCTCCACTAAGTGGGGAGGCTGGGTCTACAGGCTCTCTGGTTCAGAAAATAAACTGACAGGATGGTGAGAGGGAAAGAAATCCAGAGTCTAACTCCTCATATAGACTTCCTGTTGTTCAGTCCTATCTTTCACAACTGCTTTTAGAGATATATGATTACTCTAAAATACTGAAACTTACTGAGGTTCTGTTATAAGAAATTAGTGTTCCTGATGGCATTTCCTCTCTGCAGGTGCATAAGTTTCATACTAAGACTCTGCTAAATTCATTTCCAAGGAGGACTGCTCCTCACTACCTCTCTAATCAATCACCAAGGACTCTAGGGATTCATTTTGTTTTCTTCATTCTCACTGCTAATGCCTTAATAAAGGTCCTCTCCATTGTTGTTTGGGTCTACTACAACAGCCTTTTAACTTGGGTGGTAGGCAGAAATTCTCTCCTCTCTCTCTCTCAGACTCATGGGCTCAAATGATCATTTTGCCTCAGCCTCCCTAGGTGGTGGAGATACAGGCATGTACCATTATTGTGTCTGTCTTAGGTAGAATTAAGACAACCCTAGTATTTCCATTCTCAGGTTATCTAACCAATCACTAATCTAGGTAATGCTACAAAGGGACTACAAAAATGTAATTAAGGTAATTTAAAGTTAGTAGACCTTCAGATAAGGAGATTACTGAGTAGGCCTGATATAGTCCTATGAGCCTGTTAAAGCAGATGAGGTTGACAGATTCCAAGCACAGCATCTGATATATTGCTGCTGACCATGAGATGCAGGGGCCCATGTGCGGGGATTGGAGAAGAGTTTCTAGGAATTGATAGTGGCTTCTAGCTGAGTTCTATGGAAGTGAGTACTGCTAAAATCTGAATGAGCTTGGAACTAGATTCTTGTTCAAGTCTACCAATTTGAGTCCATTTGGCCAATATCTTCATTTTAGACATAAGATTCACAGCAGAGAAACCAGCAAGAATCACTTTAAGCTGGTGCTGGTGGCTCACACCTATAATCCTAGCTACTCAGAAGGCAGAGATCAGGAGGGTCATGGTTCAAAGCCAGACCGGGCAAAATAATGTGAGACCCTATCTTGAAAAGATCCATTACGAAATAGGGCTGGTGGAGTGGGTCAAGGTGTAGGCCCTCAGGGGGAGGCAGTGAGGTCCAAACAATGTATATACAGGTGAGTAAATGTAAAAATGATAAAAAAAAGGTGTAGGTCATGAGTTCAAGTCCCAGTATGAAGAAAAAAAAAAGAATCAATTTTAACTTCTGATTAATAGAACTGTGAGATAATAAATGTGTGTTATTTTAAGATGCTAACTTTGTGGTAATTTGTTATGACAGCAATAGGAAATCAATGTTACATCTCCCCACTTCACATTTTGCACTTTTTTGATCTAATCTCCTAACTGTTGCCAGAGTGAGCTCTTAAAATCTGATGCTTTTTAATACAAGATATAGTCTTAATATATTATCTACATTTAATTTAATAATTAACACTGTGTGTTTGATTTTGGTTTGTATTATTGGTCAACTTTTTCTATTACACATGAACAGTCATCTCTCTCAGCTGATTCTTTAAGTAGTCCTTCATGTTTAATGGAGAAGAAATAATAAAGCATGCCTGGAAATTTAGTTGGCTGTGAATTCAGTTATGAAGGGAATTATGATCATGTAAGAAAGACAGGAGCAACACTTCAACTAAGACCGTGGTTACAAAAATTAGAAATACAGAGAAGTCTAGAAGAAATATTGAAAAAGTGAAATAGGCATAATGCTTTTTGATATGTGTTCACATGCATATATGCTTATGTGTAGCTGGGTACATATGTACATGCATATATATGTATAAATGCATACACATATTTTAAGTATATTTTTATATAAAGTAATACATTATGTTTATGGGAAAAATTCAACCAGTACAGAAGAGTTTGGCCCAAACTGGTAACTCATGAACAAACCAGTTAGAGGACTTTATTTGAATAAGAACGTATTTTATTTTTAAATCTGAACTTGCATGACTTTAGTTGGGCTATGTACTGCCTGATTTGCTGTCATCTCAACCCACAACTCATCCTTTTCTAGATTTAAACAGGATCTACTCATTTGTTGATAGTTCTTGCTTTTGCTTTTTTTTTTTTAACTCATGAGTTTATAATCCTGACAAAGTATAAAGCACCTACAACCTCTATAAATCCCCTAATATTATGCCCTAAAGCAAGATTTCTTAATAGTGGAACTACAGACATTCTGAAAAAGAAATTTCTTTGTGGGTGCATTCCTATTCACTGCAGGATTTTCAAACAGCATCCTTGGCCTGTACCCACAAGATGCTCCAAGGTTGCATTCCCAAGTCCTGACAATCTAAAATGTTTCCAGAGATTGCAACTCTAGGGGGGATTGCCCCTAGTTGAGAATCAATGTCCTAGCAAAATCTCTGGTAAGGGTTTTAAGGTATCTTTCCAGGTAATTTCTAGATCAATAATAGCACTTACATATCTGTGTCTCCATCCCTTTTTAAATATTTATTTTTATTCTTAACAATTTATCACAAGTATTGCTCCTTATTCTCATATGCAGAGTACCTGATGCCATATTTTGAAATAGCTAAAGAGAGTTTCAGAATTTATTGAATCATACCCCCTATACCATTGATTTTTTTTTTCATCTGTGTACAAAGAAAAAAACTAGAGCACTGAGACCACAAAGTGATGAAATGGAAGAACTATAGGTATATGCAGACATCAAGAGCTCAGGGGCTTTCTCTGCCAGTGCTGCTGTTTGGTTTGTTGCTTTGTGATCTCCTCCAAAGCAAGAACCAGGCTAAAAAGGCAGATGACCACTTTTCCTGCTAATCCTTGCTTCATGCTAAGAGAAGTCTACAGACAATCAGGATTTGAGACCACACAAAAGGATTCTTGAGTGAGCAAAGATGACTGTGATGACATGAAAGGAAAGTAAGTTTACAGAGATGAGGCAACTGACAGTAACAAATGTGTCACAGCTAACCTTTGCTTTTATTTAATTTCCATCCATGCATGATGCTACTTTCTACTTCTTGAAAGGTAGTGATTCATTCAAATAGAACCAACTCCTCTGCTGCATGGCACCCAAGACTAATACCACAGGAGGGCGAAGAAGGTGGGGGCTCACCACATGCTCTGAGGTTCTAAGAGAAAAAGTCTTCCTGTTATTAATAAGTACCCCAGGCTTAACAGGTTGCAAATTGCACCAGCTCATGAGTCTGGCCTCTCTGGTGAACAAGATCTGGACAATTTGATGTCTTCTAGTAGATTTGTTCAAATTTATCAAATATCTAGTTATTTTGCCATGAAATAATAGAACTGTGATTTTATGTATAATTTTTCTCTTAACTCATCAAGATTTCATTAGTGGTTCCGTAAAATGCTTCAGACCTCCTGTAGAAATAACCATGAAAAATAATACCACACAAAATAAAAAAGACAAATCATACCTTTTGGTACAATTTTGTTTGGTTTGTTGTTTTGTGATCTCTTCCAAAGCAAGGACTGGGCTACAGAACAGCTGCCCACTTTTCCTGATTATCCTTTGTTTCATAGCAGTTAGATTACTCCATTCTCGAACAAACCTCAAAATCTGGCAGAAAATGAAATAATGAAAAGAGTTAACAGCTCACCAAGCATGTTCCTTTGAAAGTAAGGCTATTTACTACATGAGAAAGTAATCTTTTTCATATTCCCCAAAACAGGTTTTAAGTTCCACAATTTAAGGCTTCCTTCAATTTGATGGAGTTTTCGTACCTTCATTGTAAACTATCTGTGGCTAATTCTAAAAAAAACTTTTTCAATCCAAAGATTCTCCAAAGGCACATTTCAGAACACTCTGTGTATGTCCTTAACACACACATGGACCAACTGATAATTCACTCAGAGTCAAAAACAGGGCTAGAAATACAAATGTGAGCAATAGCCAAGGCAAAATTTGTGTTGGGGGCAGCAGGACTTGCAGAGGTTAACAGAGTGACAGTGAAATATCTGGGAATCATTTTGTATCTGAAGGCCAAGTTATAGAAAAAGTCACCAAAAATCAGGGTCATTTTTATTAGGGTTACCAATTAACCAATTTTAGATAATTGGCTATTTTGAGGAGTTGGGATCTAAGAGTCAGAATTAGCTGATACCAAAGAAAATAGCTGATTGCTACCTTTCCTTTAGCAGCTGACCCCTGGGCAATGCTTCATTTTTCACTTAGAGTGTCAAAAAAAAAAAAAATCTTTTTTTTTTTTTTTTTTGTTTTAAAGGTAGACTACATGCTGGGTCAGTCTGTGCACACAATAATCTTCTTAGCAGTGAGGGTAAATCAGTTACAGATCAGAATTAAGGCTTCCCTGGTAAGTACCTGGCCTGAAGCTGCATGCTGGTGATTCTGACAATGACTTGAGAGTCACCCAACATGACATTAGCTCTGTTCTCAGAATTTGTCATTGTTTGGAACTTAACCTTAAGATATAAAATGTGATTCTGACAGAAACAAGTAACACAGTTGCTAATCCTGTGAATGAGAAATTAAATGATGTGAGGATGATTCTATCCACAGAAACAGCAGCTCTAGGTGTGATCATTCACCAAGGAAACAGATTTCACATTTATTCTCAGCACCAAGGTAATTAATAGACACTGCCTGGATTGACAAAAATGCAGCCAGCGACTGGATTCTGCAATAGGCCACGAAGCACTGATTTTTTAAACTCAAAATTATCATTAACATTATTAAAACCATTTTCTTTAAAATGAATACAACTATTTTATTTAAAACTAGTCTTACCAGTGAGCGATTTTGTTTCAGTTGAAAGCTTGCTGGTAAATCGTCCCAAAGGTCTAATTTTATATCCAAAGGAATGAAATTACAGTTCATCTGTTTTCCATCCTGATTATAGATTAGAAGGATATTATTAATCCATTTTTGTCTGGAAGCACTAGTAACTACTTTAAAAGAAAATAATTATGACACAGTATGTCTAGTCTCCTAATAAAGTGGGAGCACATTCTAAACAAGAGTCCACCCAATGAAGGACTTCCATGAAGTCCTTCCATGAAAGACTGTGAGATGAAGATGGGAGACAGGCTCTCCTTTTCTCTCTGTGGGCCTGCCCTGCCCACATCTAGTCTAAGTCTTCTGCTGTCAGCCTGGGATACTGTGCTTACTGCTCTGTTATACTCCCCCAATGCCTAATCTTGGAAACAGGTAGTCAAACAAAAAAATCTGTACACTGCAAATCAATACAGAAGAACATCCCTCCCCCCTCTCTCTCTTTTTTTTTTTTTTGCAGTACTGGGGCTTGAACTCAGGGCCTTTACCTTGAGCCACTCCACCAGCCCTTTTTGTGATGGGTATTTTCGAGATAGGGTCTTGAAAACTATTTGCAAGGGTTGGCTTCGAACAGCAATCTTACTGATCTCTGCCTCCTGAGTAGCTAGGATTACAGGCGTGAGCCACCAGTGCCTGGCTAGAACATCCCATTTTTTGATGATAAACAGTACAACCATTCTAAAATTTCACAAACTTCTTTATAAGCACTGAAAATGTCTCATTTTCTATTCACTGAATTTGTCTATTCAGTGCAAGAAATAGACTGAATATCACCCCTCAAATGGGTTGACAAACCTGTCTATTGTTACAGAAACAAGAAGGTAGACAGTAATTCTAGAGAAATTATTTTGAAATTTATTCCCTAAAGTAATGTCGCGATGTGGGTCCATAGAGACTGGTTGCCAATGGCACCACATGGAGAGTAAGTGAAACTGCATTTAGGTCTGGATAATAAGCTACACAATGTCCTAAAATCTCAAAGGTAAAAAGTAACCAGTATAGTCAATTAAATCCAAGTGGAGGTTGTTTCTTTTTTAAAAAGGAAGAATGACTAATGTAAAAATAGGTTGTATTAACAAGAGTTCAACTCATATTCGAATTCTTATAGCCAAAAAGAAATGTTATAACTCCCACACCACAAAAGTACTTACATATTGATTTAAAATTTAGACATGTAAATGTAGTATGCAATTCTAAACACATGTAATATGTAACTCTAAAGTTTAGATATATAATTGCAATATCTAACTCTAAACCCTTGATTTAGGATTAGGGTTGAAATGAACCATTCTAAGTAGGACACAAGATGTTGAATGTCTGCTGCTGACTTTTCCTTTAAGGTGTACAGTGAACTAAAAATTTTATCTAAATTTCTACTTCTACCCATGAGTAATCCATACCCTAAATATCAACTATGTCTGGCACAGGGAGGTTTCACAAGTGAATTTAACAAAACAAATACCCAGACCTAAAAGCTAGAAAGAGCAAAGGTTAGGAATTTCAAACACAAATTCTTTATCAATTAAAGCAGAAACTAGTAGATTACTCAATGTCTCTCCTAACAAGACAATGATCCAAATCCAGAAAATCATCCCAGGGACCAAAATGATCCCTCCCAGTTTTAACAGCCATCTCAATCACCCAGTCCCACTACCTTTAACCAACTGTATTCCCCCAACTCTCCAGTATAAAACTAGGAGATGGGGACCACCATTTTGAGTTTTGTTCCCATTTCCTGTGTGGGGAACAAGAAATGTTTCTCTCTTTTTCTTCCCCCCAACTCTACCTCATTGCTCTCACTCTAGAGACAACTTGCTTTCAGTCTGTTGAAAGTGTATTCCTTTCCTAATAAACTTTACTGTTACCTTTTTTTTTCCCTCAGTACTGGCGCTTGAACTCAGAGCCTTTACCTTGAGCTACTCCACCAGCCCTTTTTTGTGAAGAATTTTTGTAGAGATAGGGTCTCGTGAACTATATTATATGCCTGGGCTGGTTTCGAACAATGATTCTCCTGATCTCTGCCTCCTGAATAGCTAGGATTACAGGCATGAGCCAGCTCCGGCTTTGACTGTTCACTGAATCTTTGAGTCTTGCCTGAATTCTTCTCCCGCCAGACACAAGAACTGAGGTAATTTTTAGGACCATTTTTCCGGTAACACAACCATTAAAATACATTTGAGATTACTGACAGGTATGTCAAGAAGGAGAGGTAGGTTGTGCTGCATAGGCCAGGTGGTAGAGTCAGAACGGGGGTCAGCAAGGCTGTCACCGCCTTTTGGTTGGCAGCAGGCACACACTATTCTCTACTAGGAGTTTGTAGTTTCTCTACATCTCCACTCCAAGGGGGAAAACACTGACCAGACCGTCACAGTATAGAATAAAATGTTTGAAGAATTTAAGGGCTTCTGAATTCTTGGTGTTCGCTAACTGTTATCTATCTGCCTCTAGGCTTCTCAACCTTCAAGCCTCTTGGGGATCACTTTTTCATTCCTTTTGTGATGATTTGAGGGGCACAGCTTGGCACTTTGTGCCCCTGGGGGTGAAGGTAGCTCAAGACACTTAAACGTGCCTGAAGATGAGCAGAGGAGTTCTTGGTGCTCCTCCCAGTCTGTCTCACCGCATCTAGAGACTCAACAGGGTGGGTAGAGTCCATGCTCATAAGAGGAGCACTGACTTCTGCTTGGCTTTATTCTTGATTCTATCTCACTGTAGACCCCATGCTGGATGCTGCTTGGGGATTTTGGTATTCATGTTCCTGCCACTTCCTTCTAAATGAAGATTATTACATGGTACGCCATCTGTCTGGATCTATATTTGATTTAGTAAAAATCCTTAACTGAAAGTTTGGTCACGTTCTCTTTTAAAAGGCATGTTTTCCATAGAATGGACCATGACGTTAAAAAAATTAGAAGTATTATTTTATTATACTTACTTAGAAAATTGAAATTATAGACCCAGTAAAAGTTTTTTAAATATCTGCAAACTTTTTCTTGAATACTTATATTAGTTTAATGAGGATAAAGATTCCATATGGTCTCCCAGAGCCTCTCAGGGGGGTCCATAAACTGACAAATGTTTTTGCAACAACTATAAGACATTGTTTTTTTCAAAAATGTGTGAAGTTTTCCAGCAGCTATGTGATATACCAAAACAAAATGAATATAAAGGCAGACATGAGAATCCTACTGTCTTCTATTGAGACTTTAGAGAAAACTGCTAAACAATGTAAAACTGTCTCTCTTCTCACTACACCTCTTTCTGTTTTGGAAAATATAATTTTCATGGAAATATATTATTTATATAAATATGTACTGGATTTATTACTGTTACTTCAAAATGGATCCAGAAATGAATATTTTAAGTGTCCTCATTTTAAATACTGAATATAGTAAATATCAACAGATACACCTATAAAAACAAAAGCTCTTTGGAGTCCTCAACACATTTTTAGGGGTACAGTGGGGTCCTTTCAAATAAAGTTTGAGCGTCACTGACCCGGTCTATGGCAGGAATTTAAGTGATTATATCACAAAAGCGTCGATCTTTATTCAGCATGGAGAGGCAGGTTTGGTGTCTATAAAAATGTGGCAGCTTCTGCTGCTTCAAATGATCAGTGCCGGAACTAACACTTACTGAGAGTCTGTGAGGGTTACATACTGTGCCAAGTGCTTTACAGGACTTAACTTTTTTTTATCCTTGCAATAAATTCTCTCTACATTTTATAGTTGAGGAAATCAAAATACAGAGCAGTTAGGTAATGTGTCTAAGATTACACAGTAACAGATTTAAACCAAGGCAGTCTTGTCCTGGAGTCTATGAACTTTAACAACTATGCTGTTTTGCCTCTCATTGCCTTTAGATTTAACACAGGAATCTGATAGCTAGCTTTAAGGGGAAAAAGACTAGAGATCTGGCTCACTGGTAAATAGCTCCATTGAAAAATGAAAAAGAGGAAGCCTTTTTACATTTCATGCTGCAGAATCTGCATGATGCTTACCTTAGTATAGAGGTGAATCCGGTCAGTATTCATACTTGCACAAAACATTAAGGCATCATACACTGGCAGAGTATCTGAGCTCTTGAACTGCTCTAATAAAGAAAACGAAAGACAATCTGAAGGCTCATCTGCTCTATCTACAATAGTTTATTTTAATCTTTTGTAGGTTAGAATGATTAAATAGCTATGTCAAAAAATCAACATATTTGACAAAGAACATGTATCTAGGCTTAAAATAAAATTCCCATGGTAGGCCATCTAACATCAGTGGTATGGTAACCAGTTACTTTTCATTTTGCTAATGACCTAACAAGAAACAAACAGATACAGAATTAGCTGAAAAGATATGAGTTAGGCCTAAGGGACACTTTCCTGCCACCAGGAATTGTTACTAGTTGTGAAGGAATTTAGAATCTCTCCCTTTTGCTAAAGTATATTGAAGTTGACACTAAATGGGCACCATTTTGATTATCAGTAGCAATGTGGTTGTGTTGAGGGCCACTTAAATGCTTTATGGCCTGGTCCCTCACGTTCATAAAAGCAGACGAGTGGACATACTTATTTTTGGGTAATTATTTTAAAGCCTTTTCTCAGTCTCCTTCTCCAACATGCTGCAAGGGAGAAAGGATTATCAAAGCAAGTGTAAAATAAGAATAATATTTAATGCTTACTAAGCACAATGTTCCAGACACTGTTCTAAGTATTGTCCTAAGTATGCACACCTCACAAATAAATAGTGCATTTTTAAACAACAGAAAACAGGCACATCAATCTGGGTAAGGTCGCAAAACTAGTAAGAAGATTTAAACCCAGTAATCTGGTTCCAGAGCTTGTACTCTTAACTCAACCATAGTTCCTCAGTGACCTTTTAAAGTACTTTCCCAGAGCTAGGATTTGTTTGTTCTACTTGGTGATATCATCATAATTTTTCTAATTATGGCATTGGTTGGTCACTTTACAAATTTGATTTGACCAAGTGTGGTTAAAAAAAAAATTCCCACATGCATTATGCAGCTTAGCTGGTGCAGAAAGCAATCAAGTCAGTCTTGCATTATCATCAGTTCTGTTTAAACCCTATGTATCCCAAGCATTCTTGTTTTTTCCTCAACAGTGGTTTCCTTGGAACTATATGCCAGTGGATACTAAGGGTTTACTGTATTTAATCAATTCAAAGATGGGACTATTAGGGAATGGCAATGAGACTGGAGGAGGGGTCAGAGAGAGAGGAGTGCAAGAGAGGATAGAAGGGAGGGTAGACAAGATCAAGGCATGATATATGAACATATGGAAATGGCACAGTGAAATGCATTTTGTGCAATCAATATGTGCTAATAATAAAAAGTACTTTAACATCTCTGAAATTGGTGTTTCACAATTAACAATAATAGTGACACTTAAGGATCACTGTTGGCTGGTTATGAAGAAGTTGAATGGCATGCAATGCATGAGCTTAGGCAAGGCCATAATACTACTGTCACTTCAGAACCACACATGAGGTACACACACTGTTGTTACTACATGTATTGAGTTTAACTTTAAGATAGCTCCAAAATTTTTCACTATGATTTGATATTGAAATGAAAAGTTACATATATATGTCAAAAAAACTTGGAAATAAAGTAGAGAACATAGTTAATATTAAAGAAGCAAATATATATTCCTGGAGGAATAAGCAAAATTTCTTATTTTCTTGCAAAGGAATAACAAAGTGCTTCATAGGACCTAAGAAAAAAAATCTCTGCAAATAGAGGAAGTTGTATTTTATTTGGACAACTGAGATAAGCAAAAGAGCTGCCTATTATTTGCCAAATAAAGTAAATGAATGCAGAAGATAGTGCCAAATACCCCAGAACAAATGTCAAGGTGAAGGACGGTGGTATGACCTGGTCTGGGTTACAGTTAAGGTATTATGTTATTGTATAACTGGCAGTTTTTTCTTTTTTAATGGTCCAGAAGTGCATTTCATAATCAATGTGTCTTTGTATTTGAAGAGCTATGCATTAATGTATAAAGATCAGAAGTCATTCTTTGAGAAAGGGAATTATCAGATCAGTTCTAAAGCAGTTAATATTCATTCTTGGCAGCAAACAGCTATATTGAACTAACATATTTCTCTTTTCAGTGTTTCCATGAAATGTAATTTTATAGTGTGAGACTAAACATGATGTCTTTGTTGAACATACAGCTATCCTTCCAGAACTCTAGACTTCTAGTTAGAACAAAACTATAGTTCCAGAGCAGAATGTATCGTTCTGACTCCAAAGGAGTGAATATAGGTACAATAAACATTTAACATAGTGTGCCTCCTTTGTCTTTTTTCTCTGTTTTTCATGGAAATCCATATTAGTAGGAAGATGTGATGTATAACTTACTTGAAGTTCTTAGCCCACTGATCTGAATAGTCAAAAAAAGGAAGCAGGGACAAGCATGGGGAAAATACTGGCATTGTCTGGAATGGATGAGGCCAACACAAATTTTACTGCCTGAATGGAAATTTTAAAAGTCTAGTGATTTTTAAAAGAAGTATTCATAAATTTAAGCTACCTTGCAACCCAAGCTTCATCAGTACTTCAGTGTTTTCTTTTACTCACAGCAGGAACAAGGAAACCAGAGAAAAACAAGAGTATAACCCCTCTGAGTCTACATTGTCTACTTAAGCACTATTAGAATTATACCTATACAGAATTCCACCTAAGATATTCCTCGGGAAGAACTTGAGGAATTAGAGGGAAAGAAAGCCAAGGAAAAGAAGAAAAGACAATGCACTGAGCTCAGAAATTTGTAAATGAGCATTTCATTTTAAAGCTATGAATCTGACTCCAAATTAATCAGTGTTTAATAGCTTAGAAGAAAAAGTTTGGCAGTCTCATCCCAACAATTTTGAGTTGGTTTTTATAAAAACCTATAGGTTACTATGGTCACTAAGCAAGTAAAAATGAACAGAAATACAAAGTACTCACAGTCTTTCCAGCTGGCCCATAAAAGTTTGTGATGCATGACTACAGGCTCATATTTGCTAACCATCATAGTTACAAATAATGAATGGAATCAGGCAACAAACAAATAAATCTGAGCCACTACATGGTTGGCTCCAAATATAGCTAAGATTCATACAGCCTTACAATCATGTTTCTTAAAAACAATTTATTTAAAAAAATTTTAAATGCCAGTAAAGTATAACCATTTAAAAGATAAAAGAATTCATGTGTAAAGGATTAATGATTTGTTAAAGGGTTGTTAATAATCTGTCAATTTTACTATTCTGTCCAAAAGTACCTTCCCCAAATCAAAACAACACCTTGTTGTGTGAATGGGCTAGGTTTGATTGAGGCAGGGCAACAGGCCTGGTGGCAACACATACAACTGTTTATTGGTTTTGTTCCAAGAGTAATGTCTTTTTATTTTTTTGGTGGGACTAGGGTTTGAACTCAGGCCTGTATGAATGCAAAGCAGGCTCTCTACTGCTTCAGCCACACCTCCAATCCATTTTTTTTTCTGGTTATTTTGGAGATGGTCTCAAAAACTATTTGCCCAGGTTGGCCTCGAACTGCAATCCTCCTAATCTCAAGTTGCTAGGATTACAGGCATGAGCCACAGGCACTCGGTTCGTGTGTAGTGTCTTAATGGCAACAGATAAACTCTGCTCTTCCAGCCATCTGGTGTTTATGGATGTGGTTAAAAGTGTTAGATATTTTTAATATAAAAGAAAATGAAAGACACCTGGAATAAGGTATTAATCACAAATCTAGTAAAAAGTATTATGTGTTAAAGTACATGGTTATTATTTGGACACTGGAAACAAGACTTACCATTATCTGCCTGGGGTGTATGACTGCCTTCCCTCTGAACTTCTGATGTTTCTTCATTGCCCTCAGTCAACTGGTCTGGTTCTGACAGTTCCAGGACTTGTTTTTCACAGTTGAAGCTAGCTTGAACTTTTTTGGAGGTGTCTTTCTGAGAATCATCTTCCTCATTTTTGTTTTTACCCCGAATAATGTTGAGGCTGTCTATTTGTGGAATTGCTAAAATCAAATAATTTAAATTAAAAACCGTTAAAAATGTCACAACTAAGTCTTATAAAGAGAAACAATGTTAATATTTATTCATTCACCTAAAGCATTTATTGGGAGCCTATTATTTGCCCTGCTTGCTGGAGATTTCCTTGGTGGAAGAGATAGATAAAAATACAAACAAATAAGTATTGTATCTTCAGATAAAGAGACTCAAACTGGGTTTCTGTGAGAAAAGGAACTGGGGCAGGCAGAATGGTGAGGAAAGGGTGGAATCCAAAAATTTAAAGGAGCAGTATTAGAATATTATATACAGAAAAAATTGTCAGGGCCATGCTCTCTCGGGGAGTCCCATGTAAGCTCAGAGCTGTTCATGAACCTAGAAGCCTGGCCCAGGAGCTTGTATTTCTGGATTAGATTCTAAATATAACTGGAAACCAATACAGAGCTTTAGGCAGATGAATAATAAGATCTAAGTTTTTAAAGGATCACCTTAGCTGCTGTGCCCAGAAGGATCACAATTGGGGAAGATTAGATGGAACTACTGAGGTCTGGGGAAAAGATGACAGTGGCTTTTGAGTAGGATGGTAGCAATGAAGAGAAAGTGATTGGAATGGAGATTTATTTTGGAGGTTACTTAATGGATTGAGTGGGAGAAGTGAGAAAGATCAGGATACTGCTGAGGTTTTTAAACTGATATAGGGAAGATTAGGGACAACATTTGAGTGTTAAATGTGATGGTGGTGATGAATCAAGAATTCTATTTTGGACATATTAAACTTGAGGTTCCCATTAAATAGCCAGGCAGAAATGCTACATAGGTCACTTTGTAACAGTTTGGAATTCAAGTGAGATATACAAATCTAGGTTATTTCAGTTGCAAATTATTAAGTATAAACTACAGATGTTAAGAACAAATCAGAAGAAAAGCGTTCCTATTGGTAAATATTAGCATTCAATGTAGTCTATACCACATTTTTCTCTAAAGCACTATATACTGAATTAGCAACCTTTATACACTGCAATATCTAATACGGCTTCTTCAAATTTCTGGATCCTCCAGCAATACCACTCTTGGGGATATACCCAAAAGACTGTTACTCCAGAGGCACCTGCACATCCATGTTTATTGCGGCACTATTCACAATAGCCAAGTTATGGAAACAGCCAAGATGTCCCACCACTGACGAATGGATTAAGAAAATGTGGTATCTATACACAATGGAATTTTATGCAGCCATGAAGAAGAATGAAATGTTATCATTCGCTGGTAAATGGATGGAATTGGAGAACATCATTCTGAGTGAGGTTAGCCTGGCTCAAAAAACCAAAAATCGTATGTTCTCCCTCATATGTGGACGTTAGATCAAGGGCAAACACAACAAGGGGATTGGACTATGAGCACGTGATAAAAGCGAGAGCACACAAGGGAGGGATGAGGATAGGTAAGACACCTAAAAAACTAGCTAGCATTTGTTGCCCTTAACGCAGAGAAACTAAAGCAGATACCTCAAAGCAACTGAGGCCAATAGGAAAAGGGGAACAGGTACTAGAGAAAAGTTTAGATCAAAAAGAATTAACCTAGAAGGTAACACACATGCACAGGAAATCAATGTGAGTCAATGCCCTGTATAGCTATCCTTATCTCAACCAGCAAAAACTCTTGTTCCTTCCTATTATTGCTTATACTCTCTCTACAACAAGATTAGAAATAAGGGCAAAATAGTTTCTGCTGGGTATTGGGGGGGGAGAGGGAGGGGGCGGAGTGGGTGGTAAGGGAGGGGGTGGGGGCAGGGGGGAGAAATGAACCAAGCCTTGTATGCACATATGAATAATAAAAGAAAAATGAAAAAAAAAATTTCTGGATCCTATCCTTTCCTCAAAAAGTTATATGGAAAGTACTGGTAATTTTAGATTCAAAAATATTAATTCTGCTTTTCAATACTTTTGGGGTATATAAAAATCAAGGTTGGAAATCATTATGCCAAATTGTAGTAATATAAATCCAATAATTACAACTTTAAGATACAGTAATCCATTGCTACTTAGAATTTTAATTTTTCTCTAAGCAAATTGTTTCATATTCACAAAGAGTAGTGATTTGTTAAGCTGCTTGCCAAGTTGCTTATTAAATCATGGGCCTAGTAACTTCCAGTGCTGCTTTTGGCATCACAAAGGAAAAATCAGAAGTGTAAAACACAACACATAATAAACTATGATTTTCCCTAAATTAGTTACCTTATATACCTAACATGAGCTGACATTATTTTATAGCTACAATATACTTTATTTTTATTGCCTGTGCCAGTTGGGAATTTCATGGGGTGGTGCTAATTGTGGCAGGGATATTATATGGAATAAGCTTATGATTTCAATTTAGTTCACAGACAACAGGTGCCCACATTACAAATACAACCACCCAGATGGCAGACTTGTCAATTTTGGTAGGAGCACCCAGAAGTGAAAAAGTAAAAACTTAACTACTGACTACATTTTCCTTCAGGTCAAAACTATGACAAAGACAAGAGCAAGGCAGAAGGAAAGGAACTGCAATATCAGAGCTGAGTCTTTGTCAACATCAATATTCAGAAGAATTAAAGGAAAATTAGATGCAAACATTATTACCACAGATAAAATGAATATTTCTAGATTCCAAAACTGTCAACTTTGCATTTTTCATTCACATAAAAATACTCTCTAAAATTGGAAACAAAGAGAATTCTAATGATATTTTTCTTCTGAAAAACATGGATATTAATAAGTATTTCAGAAACTAAACATCAGGAAATGGCATATCTTGCTATAAAATTTACTTGAAGTATGTTTCTGATTTCTAAGTACAAAATAATATGTTTTAGAAAAGAATAAACTCATAAAACAAACATTATATTGGTTCTTTAAAGAAGAAGTATAGAGTAGTTTTTGTGACTTTGTCAAGCAAAAAACATGGCATAAAGTATACCAAGTAGGCAAAGAAGCTACAGTGGATTATTTCAATGTTTAAAAATAAAAATAATTTACAATTTCCTTAAAAACAAGTGTATCTATAGAGGAAAGAAAACAGCAGGTCTATGACTGTAAAGCACATTTGCTACCATAGCAACAGAGCTTCTATTCCTGCCCACTGAATTCACATCCTGCTGACATTAATCAGAAATGTCCATTTGTGCCAAATTAATGCCATATCACAGACACTTGGGGATATACATTCTTGACAGAAGAAGGAGCTTTTTACATTCCACAAGGGATAGATTCACAGTCTTCTCTATGTGAAGTTCTTACTCCATTTTAAAAGCTGAAGTCAATGCTGAGTCACACTACCCTTCAATAACAGCAGTATCTAAAAGCACAGATTATCTCAAGATATTCCTGCCAGCCCCCACCTCCATGGTTACCTTCAGTCTAACTCACCAGCACTGCTTTGAAGATTCTCACACATTTCACAATAAGGAAGTGCAAAATTATTGATATAGGTGCAGAAACCACACTGCCAGTCCTTTCCATGAAGGGGTAGAGTAGGTGACAGGGATTTGGCTTCAGGGACACCTTCCATGAGTGAAAATTTGGTTTGTTTGGGCCAGGACGGTTTCTCCTCTGGTTCACTGTTGTGGTCAGTGGTGGTGATCAATTTCAATCTTTTAGTTTTAGGTTCAAAATTACTTTCACAGTCAATATCTTTGGTAACTATTTTTCCAGAGTCTGATGCCACTATAGCACTTTTTTCCTGGAATATCCTTGATTCATCACAGGATGTCTCCAAGTGTCTTTTTTCAAGTTTTGGTAAAAAGAATGATCGAATATCATGCTGCTTTTCTTTTTCAAACTAGGACAAGCAAACAGTTATCAAATTAAAAAACAATTGTTCTTATTAAATCAAAGAGCTCAATTCCACATTTTTATTAACGATACTGCCTGATCCTTTGAAAACTTTTTGGAAATGGATTCACTTATGCTATGAATCTTCATATATACATATTATACAGGGTACCTTTAAAACATCCATGTACTGTGTGTGTATATCTTTTTTTCTTAGCACATGCTATGTACCAAGTACTTTATATTAACTCATTTAATCCTCATGCCAACTCTATGAGGTACATACTATTATTATTCCCATAATTCAGATGAGGAAACTGAAGCTTCGAAAGAGGTTAGGTAACTTGTCTAGAGAAGTTACTATATGAAAATACACTTCATAAATTGTCAGTTTTATGTGTATGTCAGAGAAAGGAGAGAATTATGTATTTAAAATCACAAGTCAGTCAAGAACCTAGAAAAATGCTTTCATGGCTAAACCATAAACACAGTGTATATAAGCACTGTTAGTCATATTAAAATGTTAACTTGACCAGGAAGCACTTTTCAAACAGCATTAAAAGTATTCATTTGAACAGGTTCTTTAACAGACATATTTTAATAGGATTTTCAAAATATAGCAAATATTTGGTAGCCAAATTCTACCAGCAATTTCTGGTTAAAACACACTGATTTTACAAGAGAGGTAATTTTTCTGATTCCTTGCCTATCTGGAAATGAGTTGGTTTTGCCCTTATCCTTAGTAGTTTTGGTGGGCTTACAAATCTTTAAAGACATTGTTCTGCTTTCTTCCAACATTGATGACGCTGAGTTGTTCCTCTGTAGGTTGAAAATATTTTCTTAGAGGCTTTTAGGAACTTCTATCATTAGTGTTCTAAAATTTTCATAATGACCTCTATCTACCTCTATCTATGTACCTACATCATCTACATTTATATGCCTTAGATGTTGTACTCAGCACTCAGGATGCCTTATTCATTTTAATAACATTGACTAGTTTTCAGAAATTTTTTTTGTTTGTTTGATAGTTTCTTCCTTTTCATTTTCTCTTTTCACATTTTCTGGCATTCATGTTAACATAACATTGGACCTAAACATTTATGTCTCATCTTTTGAGCATAGTTTTCTCCTTTTTTGTCTTTTAGCACTCTAAATTCCAGTTTTCCTCTATCTTTAATCTCTGCTATAAATTTAGTTTGGCAGTCATATTTTTAACATCTAGAAGTTGCTTCATGTTCCCTCTTCCCTTTTCATAGTATTCTGATTTTACTTGTATTTGTAAAATCATCTGATATTTGAAGATACTAATTAAGAGTTTTTAAAATGTTATCTTCAGGATCAAATTTGTTATTTGTTTACTTCTGTTTTCATACTACGGATTTCCTCCTCAAACGTCTAATGACCTCCAGTTATCCTTTCATATTAAGAATGAGGAATAGGAATGTTGCCTTAGAGCTCAGGACACATGGGGCTTATCACCAAGATTTAATGATAGCATAAGCTGATTGAATGTGAGGGGAAAAAAGATGTTAGGGCTCATAGTGATTATATATACTTTTGTCTCAGACTCCTAGAGTTCTGACTTATAATATGGTAAGGATGATGTTTTCAACTACTGAAATATGAAACACAAAAAAATAAGTTCATTGAAAGGCCAAAAGAGAAGAGATAAGGGAGTAAGCTCACTTTAGACATGTGAGAACTGGTGGATACCAGGGTAGATGGTTTCAGGTAGCAGGTTTGGAGTCCAAAAGAAATGGACAATTGGATTTAGACATTTAGGAATTACTACCCAGGTAGATAAAGTCATAGAAATGGGTGTCATGACATATGGAATTAGTTTGAGAAATAAGAAAAAGTAAAAGACAGAAAGCAGGAGAGCATTAAGGTTGGAATGAGAAAAGAAACCCAGAAGAAAGTCCAAAAGCAAACATTGGGAGAACAGTGGAGTATGTGTGTTTGGTTTTTCATTTATTATACTAGATTTTCAGTATACATTTTCAATCAGAAGAACTTGTGTCCTTTAGTTCTGGGAAGCTTTCTTTCTCTGAAGATGCAGCAAGTGCATCTCTTTATTTGTTCATTATGGGTTGTTTCCTTATTATCTTCCTTGCCTTCTATATTGAATTATTAATGTATGGTATTATAAAATTTTAATTTCAGTGAGATTGTGAGTTGGTGGAGAGTGGATTACAAGAAGCCTATGAGAACTGGACATAAGCAAGGTGAGATGAAGCTTATTGATTTTCCTAAGATGTTTATCTGTATGATGAGATTGGCACAGCCACGGCCACAAAAGAGGAAAATGCAGAACAGCTGCTTCTCCTAAGTTGTTTACATTCAGAGAAGCAGGAATGAAGGTTTCTCCTGTTACAATGTCATGCCCCTCCCCGAGAACTGCTATTCCACCCTGTTTACCACTGGATATAAAAGACTTACTGAAGGAAGATGCTAGGCTTTTGCTTTGAGGCTTTTGCTTTTGGATTTTGGGTGTGAGAGGCTTTTGGAAGGGAAAAGAATTGCTGAAGGGAAAAGGATTGCTGAAGAGAAAAGGAATGCTGAAGGGAAAAGGAACTGCTGAAGAGAAAGTGCTGGAGGAAGATTGCTGAACGGGGATAAAGAATTGTTGAAGGGGAATTGATAAAGGGAAATTGCTAGCAAGTCTGAGGGCCAAGACTTTAAGAAAGAGAGAACATGGGACGGTGCGAGTCTGCACTGAGAACTTTATACATAGGCTTTAGAAAAGCTAAGCTAAAGAAAAGCTACAAAGAACATGGGACAGTGCAAGTCTGAGAACTGGGGATATAAGAAAGCTGAAGAGAGAGCATGGGACACTAAGTCTGAGGGCAAAGGCTTTAAGAGAGATTATGCTAAAGAAAAGCTAAGAGAAAACATGGGATAGAGCGAGTCTAAGGAAAGAGGTTTCAAAGAATAGTGAAGCAAAGTTTTAAAGAACTGTAAAGGAGTCAGGCCTTAAAGAATAAAGACAGAGAAAAGAAGCAGAGTAAATGAAAAGAATAATAGAGAAAAGAAGCAATGAGGGTTGTGCCTCTCCACCTGAACATCCAAAACACCTGGCCTCAACTTTCTGTCTGTCTGTCTATCCTGTGTCCTTTCTGCATCTCCTGTCACCGCCCAGTTAGGTTCAGTAATAACCAGGAACGAGAGAAAAGCTTACTCCATGCCTCTGCTTATTTCTTCTTTTTCTTATTCTTATTTCATGGGTACAATATTTTCTTTTACTTCTTTATGTCTATTAATGATATGTTTGTTTTGTTGTTTTCTTCAGCTCATTACATTATCTGTTTTATATGTGTCTTTGTGTCTTTCTTGGCTTGCCTTAGTGCTTGTTTTTCATGAGAGCCTTTTCTTAATGTCTCGTGGCCTTTCAGTGTCCACTCATATTTAAAAATAAGACACTAAAATGCTCAGGGAGGTTACAGGAAGAATTCACTGTAGAGTCACCATTAACAGTTTTGTTAAGAGTCTCAATGAGTTTTTTCTTAGTCTAGTCTCTTCAGAGATAAGACTTAGTGCTAGCCACCAGAGTGATAAAGGTCTCACCATTAAGTAAGGAGTCTTTCATTCAATCTGTTTTTACTTACTGACTTTCTCCCTCAACTGTCTGTCTTCCTGGATGTACATTTTAAAACATTTTTAAAGAGGAGTAAATAAAACAACAGAGGTCAGTATAGCTATATACATAAAATATATAATAGGTCACTATCACATACACTAAATAATGTCTAAATCATATCAGAATTTTCTGTCCCAATCTATATTTTAAGAAATTTCTCTAAAGACTTATGTCTCTATTAAAAAAAATAAAAATTTTAAGATTTGGTAAAACAAAAGCAATTCTCCCAAAAAAAACAAAACAAATCTTCCAAAAAAAAGAATTCCCAAAACCTTCAAATATAGAAGAGCTCCTTAATATAGGTATTTTTCAAGAGAACTTCTTGTACTGTTTAAGCAATGCCCAATTTGAGAGATTCTCATTGTGTGCCAAAGGCAAATTGAGTGGAAAGGTCAGCAGGGACTAACAGTGATCAGAAACTGATACATAGCTCTGCCTCTAAGGGAGGGTGCTAACAATCATGGGAGTGATCAGTGGATATGCTGTTCTGAAACCACATGCCACTGGGTAATAATAAATTGACAGTTTAGCTGTCAAATACAGAAGGGGAGTGGATGAAAATCACTTTAACAATTTCTCTAGCCAAAGGCTTCACTAAGAATATAATTTTAGCAAAAGAAGAGGGTAAGATTAGCAATGACTTTAGCTAATTTATGACTTATGACTTCAAGGATATTAATTACTTAAGACAAACCTAAACTGGGTACTAAAAATGTAAGTCCATAGCAAAAACCCTTGTTCCTTCCTATTATTGCTTATACTCTCTCTACAACAAAATTAGAAATAAGGGCAAAATAGTTTCTGCTGGGTATTGAGGGGGTAGGGGGGAGAGGGAGGGGGCGGAATGAGTGGTAAGGGAGGGGGTGGGGGCCGGGGGGGAGAAATGACCCAAGCCTTGTATGCACATATGAATTAAAAAAAAAATTAAGTGCTACTCTACTACTTGAGCCACACCCCTAAAACACTTTTTGCTTTTAGTTATTTTTCATATAAAGTCTCAGGCTGGCCTCCCACCTCAATCCTCCTACATATCCTGTGTAGCCGGGGTTGCAGGTGTGTACCACCACACCAGACTTATTTGCTGAGATGGGGGTCTCGCTAACTTTTTGCCTGGGCTGCTGTCAAACTGATCCTCCCAATCATTACCTCCTGAGTAGCTGGGATTACAGGCCTCAGTCACCACATCCAGGCCTGTACTAGAGGTTTTAATAGCTCCATTTCTTTCCCTAATTTTCTGCAAGTAAAGAGAAATTAAGAAAGAGTTTGGATGTGAATATGCAGAAGGATGGCAATCCTAATTCTTTTTAAAGAAAACAGATAGATGAATTCTTAGATACTTCATAAAAACTCCTCTGGCTTCCCTCAAAGAA